AATCAATTCTGTCCTTGTGGCACAAAAGAAGCTGTAGACAATGTGCACATGAATAAGTATGGCCATATTCTAGCATAATTTTATTTACAAAACTAGGTGACCAGCTAGCAGGCTGTAGTTTGCCAATTCCTGCATAGAAAAAAGTTCAGAATTTTTATTTTCTTTTTGAGACAGGATTTTGCTCCATCACCCAGGCTGGAGTCCAGTGGCATGATCACTGCAGCTTCAACCTCCCTTGCTCAATCACTCCTCTCACCTCAGCCTCCTGAGTAGCTGGGACTACAGGTACATGCCACCACACCCAGTAAATATTTATATTTTTTTGTAGAAACAGGGTTTTGCCATATTGCCCTGGCTAGTTAGCTCAGAATTTATTGCATGATGTAGAAGAAAAATATAGTTCAGCAAATTCAGAAAGGTTTTAGATGACTGACAAGAAATACTGTAATATCCTGTGAGAGGACTATTGAGACTGCTTAGTTTTTGCTATTACAGGAAATAATATGAATTAAAATTATGAAAAGTGTGGTGAACACATTCTAAGGTGGCCCCTATGATTCCTGTCTCCTGGTATTCATGCCTTTTTGTATCTCTTCCCCTTGACTGCAGCAGAATGTGGAACTTGCTTCTAATGAAGAGATTATGGCTAAGGATGTCATTTCTGTTACAAAAACCTATAACATTTTGCTGAGGGACATTCTCTCTTCTTAGTTTTGAGGAATAAGACACCATCTTGTGAGATGCCCTATGGAGAGGGCAGCCTCTGGTTGCCAATCAGCAAGGAGCTGAATGTTGCGAACAACCACATGAGCTTGAAGGCAGATAGTTCCCTTGTCAAGCCTTCAGATGAGAACTCAGCCCTGGCTGACACCTATATTGCAGGCTTGCTGAGGACTCTGTGGAAGTGTGCCTAGATTCCTGACTTATCTGTGTTTTTATAAACTGTAAAATTTGTGTTAATATTGTTACACAGAAAAAATACAAAAGTACACTGATAATAGGTTTAATTGTCCAAAAGTGTATCATTTATCTTCCAGGTCTAGAACTAAAATTATGTAATTAATGTAAAAGATTATTTTCAAAATAATACATTGATAAATGTCACCTATAATTTTAATAGGTGACAACTTCTATCGAACCTTTTTGATGCTCAATATCTTTACAAATATTCTTTAAAGAGACTGTGTAAACTCTAAATATTTACGCTATCAATTAACTTTTCAAACTTTTAAGCTGTTCCACATTTACCCATGTAACAGACTGTCAGAAAGTAATATAGATAAAACATCTCAAAGCCTATTCCAGTACTTAAGCATTAAATATTTTATGAAAAATCTATCTTTGATTTTTCGTTTTATTAATTGACAACCATCTTACATTTTTGAAGTACACAGTGGAGTCCCTTAGTTCTTCAATTTATTCCTCAGAGAATTTCCTTTCATCTGTTCATATATATTTATTTTGCTGTATTCAGAAGGTCTAAAGTGGACTTATTTTAGGTTTTTCTGGCAGTGCTCATTAGCTCTCGTTTCCATAGTTAAATTGCTACTGAAGCTGTAAATACAGTACTCTGAAAGCCCACACTCATGCACAGGTACATGCTTCTACATAAAACTGCCTTGGTAAATGAATAAACTATTTCATGAGAAAATGGTTAAAAAGTTGGAAATCTATAGTAAAATATTATTAATGCAAATAATCTTCATGTTTTAATTTTCTTTTACTTCTGGAATTAAAAAAGTCTTTCAGTGATGAGCAATATAGTAATACCCTAGGCTGCTAAACACTGAACTAAAATCCTCGTATTTTTATATTTTGAAACTATGTTTCCATATCTTCAAGTGGATTTAATTCATTGTACAAGTCACATAGACTTGGGAATGAAGAAAAGTGGAGAACTGCGGCCAGACACAGTGGCTCACACCAATAATCCCAGCACTTTGCGGGGCAGAGGCAGGAGGACTGCTTGAGGCCTGAAGTTTAATAACAGCCTGGGCAATATAGCAAGGCCCTATCTCTACCAAAAAATAAAAATAAAAATAAAAAATTAGCAGGGCATGGTGGTGTGAATGCTGTCCCAGCTACTCAGGAGGCTGAGAAGAGAGGACTATATAAGCTCAGGAGCTGGAGGTTGTAGTGAGCTACGATCATGCCGTTGCAGTCCACCCTGGGAAACAGAGCAAGGCTCATCTCTAAAAAAAAAAGAAAAGTGGAGAACTTCATCTGCTAATCTAATGTAATTGGACTGGTAAATATTAAAACGTTTGATAATATACAAGTGTTGTCAAGGGTGAGATTAGGGTAAACCGATATAATTGTTGGCTGACGCATATGACAGTATAACCTTTTGGGAGAGTAATCTAATAATAGCTAACAAAATTTAACATGCCACAATGAACCAAGTCTATAGAGTTTTTTCTACAAATATTTACATATGTGTGCAAAGGTTACACACAAGATTATGCACCATAGCATTGTTAATAATAGAAAAAGATGGAATTAATTTAAATTTTTCAGTAGAGAACTACTACAAAAAATTATGGCACATCTATACAATAAAATCCTATGCAGTTGTTAACAAGAATGAAGTAGTACATCTATATAAATGTACATAAATTGAAGTTTAAGATGTATTAAGTAGATAAAGCAAAGTGTGAAATGCTCCCATGTATATTACTTACATAGAAATATTTGGGTGGAATACCCAGGACACTATAATTTCAAGGGACGGAGGCTGAGGTTTTGAAAAAGCAACTTAATTTTCTTTACACACCGTTTTTGTATTTTGTGTATTTATACCAAACATGTAGATAATTTTCTCAATAAACACCTTCAGACATTCTTTATTTACCGTTAAGATACATTCTTAAAAATGTAACTGAGATAATCATTTCTAGAATTTCTTGATCACAGGTTATTTTTTTCTGTTACATGTAGTGTTAGGAATAATTCTGTCTTCAAAGTCCTTAAATGGTACTTTAATGACTCATGGGTGACATAAGTATCTCATAAGACATATTTTACTTAGCTTTTATTAAAAATTGTCTACTGTATGGATACTGAGGCACTAAATTCTAGGTAAATTTCCAGAAGATTATATTGTATTGATGAAAGTAAATGACTGGTAAGAAGTTGGCAGATACTTCACAGTCAAGAGCCAACAAGGAAATTAATGGCTGAGGTGAGAGAACACAGGGCCAAAACGATTAAATGATATACTTTCAGAAAGTTAATATATTATATTTTTAATAGCAATATGCTACAACTATATAAACCGATCTAACAAATACTGTATACCTGAAGATGTTTTTAGCACTCCCTATATATTGATTTCTATTTTAAAGACAAAATTTTTTGACTGGAATGGAGAAATACCGATCATGTGAAATAAGGATTTTTACAGTGCTGCAACTTTGATCCTTATTGTGCATTAATTTATAAAGGATTCCTTCATGTTGAGAAATTTGAAAATTCATCAAAAGAAAAAATCTCCATAAATGTGAGTTTTACTTTACTACTTAAAACTGTAATAATCTAAAAAGGGATGCAATTCCTATTTTATTGTTTATTGCTATTAAACAAAATGTGAAAAACTTTAGAGCATAGTTACAAAAAAGATGGATTTTGGAGTCACACAGAATTCAAGTCCTGGTTCTTAGATTAACTACAGAATACTGGGAAAACTACCCCATCCCTGTGAGCCTCATTTCCTCATGTATAAAAGGGAGAAAACATGAAGTATATTTAGCATCTTACGAGTTTGTTGTATTAAGTAAAAAAAAAAAACAAAGAAAAACACATAATGCATTTTGCACAATACATGACCAACAGTAAGAGTTAAACAAAAGGCAGCTCTCACTACTACTATTATTACTCTTCAATTATCCAGCATAGATGAGGAATAAAATGTTCTAGATAACGTTTTCCTTTATTAGACAAATTCTTACATACATGCCAAATTTTAAGCATCACCACTTTGTATTTTACTCACTCTTGGGGCAATTTCTTCCAAAATACTTACTTTTTTGTTACATTAGGGGTCAATAAATATAAAGTCATGTTTTGGTGCCTGGCACTAATAACTTTGTCTAGATTAACATGCTTATTTTATAGTCCCAGTATGGTGAGTTCAGGTCATATTATATTTGGAATGTTATATTTAGGTCGGGACATGGTTCAAGAGACAATGAATGCCAGACTAGAAGGTGCATAAACAGAACAATCAGAACAGTGAGGTGTGTGAAAACCCTAACGTATAAAACCAGGTTAAGGAATGATGTCTATTTAGTTTGGAGAATATTTGAGATGAAAAAATAAGTATTTTCAAATATTTTAAGGGTGTCATGTGAAAAACTATGTAAATTCATTCTGTATTATATCAGAGGACAAAAATAGGAACAACAGATATGTTACAGATACATGAATTAAATATTAATATGGCTGCTTTGATTATATGACTGACAAGCTTTATTTCAATTCCAAGATTCTGTGACCTATATACACTAAAAAAGAAGGAAGGAAATTATGGTTATACACTTAAATAAGGACTCTTGTCACTTTAAAGGTGAACTAAAATACGATTTACTAAATCGTTACTTGTGTTTCAATAAAAAAATAATGACAAAATGATGTGATATATACGATGGACTTAGTATTTCAATTTCCCAAACTGATCCCTGTAATAATCCCACTTTAAATACTGAGATTCTCCAAAAAAATCAATTCACATTAATTTTAGTCTTTTTTAAAAAATTGAGCACAATGCACTGTAAACATTTTTAAGTTATAAAAGCTACATGTTTAGATATATTTGCCTAATTTATTTCAATTTCAGATCAACATTAGAATTTAAAATAGAACTTAAGTCAATTCCACTCTAATTTATCTTAAGTTCTGTCGTGTTAGTGATTTAAATAATTTTGGAATGGGAATTGGATAAAATGATTATGCACAACAGAAAACAATGATAGAGGAGAGCAAAGCATGTATTTTGTACTAACCAATTAGAAGAACTGTTCCAATGGCTAAACCTCCACCTGGAAATGAAACAAAACCAGAAGAAAATTAATTTACCTTTTCCATTATCTTTAACATAAAAGTTAGGTTTTATGAAGGAAAGGCACTTCAGTAACTTTAAAACTGCAGTTGTGAACAACATTTTAATTGCCTTTGCAATACTTTGCTCAAGGTGCTATTATAAAATAATTACATATTATATGTAATTACACACTACACATTACAATTACTTTCTTTTCTTTTTTTTTGAGATGGGAGTCTCGCTCTGTCGCCCACACTGGGATGCAGTGGCACGATCTCTGCTCGGCTCACTGCAACCTCCCCATCCTGGGTTCAAGCGATTCTCCTGCCTCAGCCTCCTGAGTAGCTGGGATTACAGGTGCCCACCACCACGCCCGGCTAATTTTTGTATTTTTAGTAGAGATGGAGTTTTACCATGTTGGTCAGGCTGGTCTCGAACTCCTGACCTCATCTGATCCACCTGCCTTGGGCTCCAAAAGTGCTGGGATTACAGGTGAGAGCCACCATGCCCGGCCTACAGTTACTTCCATAATATACTGTACTATCCTCCTTTCTTCTATGATAGAACCATACAGCATTCAACATAACTGTGGTTAAGCACTCCAATAATGTTATATTTAGCACTTGTTAACTCAAGACTTAAATGTGCACAGTAACTTTACTACAGAAGTAGTAAACATAGATAAGATTATAGAAATGCCACATTAATATTTATCTTCAAATTTAGTAAGATTTTGAGTAAAGAATTGATAATTAAAGCTATTTCTTCTTTATTATGAATAATATACACAAAGTCTGGACATGCTGTAAATATATATACAATTTAAAAGGAACGTATTTGCCATTTCAAACAAAAAAAGATCATCATTACAAAATACATTTTCAGTATTACTAGACCAGTGTTCTTTTACATATCTGAATTAGGTCGGGCACAGTGGCTCAAGCCTGTAATCCTAGCACTCTGGGAGGCCGACGTGGGCGGATCACTTGAGGTCAGGGGTTCAAAACCAGCCTGGACAACATGGTAAAACCCTGTCTGTACTAAAAATAGAAAAAAATCTGCTGCATGTGGTGGCACATGCCTGTAATCCCAGCTACTTAGAAGGCTGAGAAACGGGAATTTTTTATTTATTTATTTATTTTTGAGACAGAGTCTCACTCTGTCGCCCAGGCTGGAGAGCACTGGCACGATCTTGGCTCACTGCAAACTCTGCCTCCTGGGTTCAAGTGATTCTTCTGCCTCAGCCTCCAGAGTAGCTGGGATAACAGGCGCCTGCCACTACACCCAACTAGTTTTTTGTATTTTTAGTAGAGACGGGGTTTCACTATGTTGGCCAGGCTGGTCTTGAACTCCTAACCTCGTGATTCGCCTGCCTGGACTTCCCAAAGTGGTGGGATTATAGGCGTGAGTCACCGTGCCCAACCTGAGACATGAGAATTTTTTAAACCTGGGAGGCGAGGTTGCTGTCAGTTGAGATCGCACCACTACACTCCAGCCTGGGCAATAGAGTGAGACTCTGTCTCAGAAAAAAAAAAAAAAAATCTGATTTATGGTAATATAATCATGAAATATATAATTCAAATGGTGAATCATTAAAAATCAATTTAAAAATTAATTTTAAGGCTAGGCGCAGTGGCACATACCTGTAATCCCAGTACTTTGGGAGGTCGAGGCAGGCGGATCACCTAAAGTCGGGAGTTTGAGACCAGCCTGACCAACATGGAGAAACCCTGTCTCTACTAAAAATACAAAAGTAGATGGGCATGGTGGTGCATGCCTGTAATCCCAGCTACATAGGAGGCTGAGGCAGGAGAATAGCTTGAAACAGGGAGGTGGAAGTTGCAGTGAGCCAAGATTGCACCATTGCACTCCAGTCTGGGTAACGAGCGGAACTCTGTCTCAAAAAAAAAAAAAAAAAAAAAAAAAAAAATTAAAGAACTTAGAACTACACTAAGACATTTGAGTACTAATACTTTGCTGTTCACTCCATTTGTAAAACTAGTACCATTTTAATTAATATCTCAAACACAAATTCACATAAAAATTTAAAAACTGAATATCAAAGAATAGAAACGTATTTAAAGTATAATTTAAAAAATACTCAAAGTTAGGCCAGGTGCGGTGGCTCACGCCTGTAATCCCAGCACTTTGGGAGGCCAAGACGGGTGGATCATGAGGTCAGGAGTTCGAGACCAGCCCGGCCAATATAGTGAAATCCAGTCTCCACTAAAATTTTAATACAAAAAAAAATTAGCCAGGCATGGTGGTGGGCGCCTGTAGTCCCAGCTACTTGGGAGGCTGAGGCGGGAGAATTGCTTGAACCCAGAAGAGGGAGGTTGCAGTGAGCTGAGATCGCACCACTGCACTCCAGCCTGGGCGACAGAGTAAGACTCCAGAAAATAAAAAATACTCTAAGTTGTTAGACAACTGGAGTCAATGTTAATTGTTTGGTTTTTGTATACAAATCTGAAAGAGACATTTAGAACACCAATAAAGAACTTTCCACAAAAAAGTTTTGTAGTCACATTTGTCATGTAGAAAAACTTAGTAACAAAAGTTCCTTTGATAGGCTGGGTACGGTGGCTCACACCTGAAATCCTAGCCCTTTGGGAGGCCAAGGCAGGCAGTTCACATAAGCTCAGGAGTTCGAGACCATCCTGGCCAACATGGCAAAACCCCATTAGCCAGATGTGGTAGCCTGCTCCTATAATCCCAACTACTCAGGAGGGCTGAGGCAGGACAATCGCTTGAACCCGGGAGGCATAGGTTGCAGTGAGCTGAAATCATGCCACTGCACTCCAGCCTGGGCCAAAGAGTAAGACTCTGTCTCCAAAAAAAAAAAAAGTTCCTTTGATAGTGTTTATTTTTTGCCTTGCAAAAAAAGCGTAACTATTATGTTTTAAACAGTCTGAAATCCGGTAACACACATGCACCTAGAATAATATGCAACATAAGACTTATGCTAAGCGATTTACAGTGAGGCTAAACATCAATTTTATGACAATATGTAGAACATTTCAAACTCTTAAGGAAGGAAATAATGAAAATACCCAGTATATTTAAATGTTTCAACGTTTAAGTTTATATATTTATAAGACTTCTTAAGTTTACATTTAGACAGGTTCCTTCATTATAGCATTTAAAGTCATATCAGACTACATAGGATAACTTTAATTTTCAGATGAAAAGATAAACATAAGCTGATATATATATCAAGATAGCCATCAAAAAGGATCAGGTCCGGGTGCGGTGGTTCATGGCTATAATCCCAGCACTTTGGGAGGACAAGGTGAGCAGATCACTTTAGCTCAAGAGTTTGAGACAAGCCTGGACAACACGGCAAAACTTCATCTCTACAAAAAATACAAAATTAGCAAGGCGTGCTGGCACCTGTAGTCCCAGCTACTTGGGGGGCTGTGGCAGGAGGATCAATTGAGCATGGGAAGTCATGGCTGCAGTGAGCAGTGTTCGCGCCACTGCACTCCAGCCCAGGGAAACAAGGTGAGGACCAGTCTCAAACAAATGGATCAGAACAAATGGTTTGCTTTGGTATAAGATTAGACTAAATGTTTAATTTTATAATGCCACACTAATGTTTTTATCCATTTGAACATCTTTTTATCCATTTGAACATCTCCTTACTTTCCTACTTTCCCTTAAATGCAAAAATAAACATTTAATTACACAATAGCCTTTTTGTGTACATATAAGGAGATGAATTGATGTAAGCATACAAGAGACATTATGGTGTCTAAGCTAGAGTAGGCACTATTAAAAAGTTTCTTACTTTAACCTCTTTCCCATAGGGAGGATTTAGTTTTCTTATCTAACCTCCTGAGTTACATTTATGTCTCCCCAAATAAGGAACTTATATAAGGCCTCCACTGGGACAGACAGAGAAGGAAAGATTTTTTTAACACTCACTATAGGACAATGAGAACAGATCATGTAAAAGTTTGCCAATTAAACGAAGTGATTACCAAATAGAGGTGTCTCGCCCAGAAAGGTACTCAGAAAGGGCTACCTTTACCATTTTGGCAATTCCTCTTTTTTTGTGGGGGGTGGGGGGACAGGGTGTCGTCGTATTGCTCAGACTGGAGTGCAGTGGTGCGATCATGGTTCACTGCAGCTTCAACCTCCCAGGCTCAAGCGGTCCTCCCATCTCAGCCTCTGAAATAGCTGGGATTATAGGAACATGTAACCATGACTAGCTAATTCTTTTTCTTTTTTAATTCTTTCATTCTTTGTAGAGACAGGGTTTCATTATATTGCTTAGGCTGGTTTTGAACTCCTGGGCACAAACTAGTCTCCAGCCTTGGCCTCACAAAGTGTTGAGATTACAGGCGTGAGCGACCACATAGCCTAAAAAATCTTATGTGTATTAAAATTCTAATGTTTAGAAAATCTGAACATTAAGACATAATGGGGACAGATTAAAAACATTTTTATCAACCAAATATCTTCTCAAACTTCTTTTACAAAAAGGTAAGAAGGCTCTATCATGTAAATTCGCTAGAATCACATTTAGATTTGCTCTGGTAAAGTTTGGTCATTGTGAAGGATAGTTGTGGGAAGTAAGATGTAACATTAACTAACTTAAACTTATTAACTAATTTAAAGCTTTTAAAAATCAAACTTTTATTCTATGTGCTTTAAGAGAAATAATTTTGACCTATACATATATATATACATGCATACAGCAGCAAAATTTCTCTATTATTCTAAACTTGAGTTTAGTGAGACATGATCTCAAAACATTCCACAAGATACCTTTGTATAAGGTATTTTGATGTCTCTTACTTGATAAATGGAAGGTCTAGCTGTATTTTAACTTAAAAGTGTGAATGTTTGTAGCCATGCTCCCACCAAACAATAAATAAATAAAAAGCTAAAACAACCAACCAACCACAACAGAGTATCCTGACATATTCTTTGAAAGCTGGCTTTTAACTTACTTTTAAATTTAGTAATCCATTAGTAATTTTATCTAATTCCAAAAGCAACATAGACTTCACACTAATAGTTCCCAATTAAAACTGAAATATCTTTTCCCAATAGTCCACTACAACATATTACAGATAATAGGGTAAGGAAGCAATCATCTTATTTTTGTAATGAAAACAAACAAAAAACTACTAAAATGGCCTTGTTTACTACTTCCTCTCCCCTTTCATCCTAACTTAGAAAAATTACCAACACACTTTCTAAGCCACTAAGCAAAATAAACTCTTCTTTTTTTGAGACGGGGTCTCACTGCCACCCAGGCTGGAGTACAGTGGTGTGATCACTGCTCACTGCAGCCTTGTACTCCCCAGGCTCAGGGATTCTTCCCCATCAGCCTCCTGAGTAGCTGGGACTACAGGTGTGCACCATCAAGCTTGGGTAATTTTTGTATTTTCTGAAGAGCCAGGATCTCTCTGTGTTGCCCAGGTTTGTCTCAAACTCCCAGGTTCAAGCGATCCATCCATCTTGGCTTCCCAAAGTGCTGGGATTATAGGTGTGAGCTACCACGCGCGGCCAGCAAATAAACTCTTGGTTTTACTTCTAGATGTCTTTAAGATGTATACCTACTTACAGCTTACTAAAAATAAAAGTAGAGTACTTCATGTACACAAAAGAATATAAGATGTTGAAAGGTTAAAGAATCGTGACTACTCTTCAATAATTATGACACAATTATTGGCTGGGCAAACATGAGAATCAAAATAAAGGTTTGAAAGGTTAAAGATACTCAGCAAGCTTGATATTTTAAAGAATTAATTTCATCAAGATTTTACATCTTTTAAAAATAGGGATTTTTTCTTAAAACCAGAAAAGATATTTAATAGTTAAGAAATAATATTAGAATTAATTTAAGATCTTGTAAATGCCAGGATCTTCCCATCTTACGATTTTTAAAATCATAAGACAATGAAAGGGCTTTTGTTGTCGTTTCAATTCGTGCAAAAGTAAGACAATTATATTAGTACTATTAATATTTTAAAGGAACAACATTCAATCCCCACAGTCTCCCCAGTAGAAACCTCTGATTAAGCTATAAATTTTAGGTAAATGAGGTCAAATTAATACAGTAGAATATGAAAGCCTTTCTTCAATGTTAAAGAAAGTAAAAGGGAAAAGAAATGAAAGTCAGGAAAAATAACAGTGATTTATGCCACTCCTTTCCAGAGCTCTATATAAAGGAATAATTTTGCTTAAAACTATAAAAAAGTATTTTTGGGAAAATGCAACGTAAAAAACAAGTTCATATTGTTTCCTTGGTTCATAGTAATAGCCTTAACTACTTAATTAATGCTGGACCTCAAATTAAATCGCATTTATTTTGATAACAAGTCTATTTTTTCTTCCCCAAGCGTTATGAAACATAGTGACTACTCTTCATTATGACACAATTATTGGCTGGGCAAACATGAGAATCAAAATAAAGCTAGGAACCATGAATAGCTCTATAGATTAAGTCACATGAAAGAATTTTACATAGCAATAAAAAATACATTATTCTTAAATGTACGCTAATTATATTGGTTGGTAAAATACCATAACCAAGATTGTGTTAAATACGTAGTCCAAGCTCAATGTATATTATCCCATGATACACATTAACATAATAAAGGAAATAAGCCCACTAGTGTTTACTTTTTGACATCAATGTTAAAAAATGGCTGCTACCATTAAGCTTCTTTCAGAGTACTCTTCCTAGACTATTGTTTACCTCAAATCCCTATCTGACATTCCCTTGACTATCAAAATTTAACAGCACAGAGGTCAAATCTGCAGTTACCCTTACTTTAAGCATTTTTCTGGAGGATGAAGTTGTGGATAATTCTACCAGGTTAGATACATGGTCCTAAGATGGAGTATACCTTTTATGGGGAATGGGGTTGGGAGGCAGGGGGAAATTCTGTCAGAATCCTTTAGCTGTTACAATCTTTCTTTGGAAACCCCTGGAAGTGAAATGGAGTACCTCTTCAATTGATGGAATACCTATCTTTCCTTTTCCAAAATATAAGTGTTATTTTCATATAGTGTCCTCAAATAACAATATAAATATCCCAGAAGGGCAAGGCTGAGAAAATGGGTTAATCTGAGAATTAAAAAAATTTTAATGTAGCTAACTTGGGAAATGTATATCAATATCTCATAATAAAATCAGGTTGTCAGAACAAAAACATTATATATTAGGTCATTTGAAAGATGCAGATATTGAAAATTTTCAAATTTGTTAAACACTGGAATAAGTAATGGAAGTATAAGTGTATCATCAAATGACTAACAATTAGCATGTATGATGCCTTTCAAATATATTTTGCATCTATGTTTAAAATGACAATGACATCATGGTGGCAGTAGCAAAATGTCACCGTACTACCTGGAAGCTATAATATTTACTTGTTACACAGTAACCACATAATATATTTAGGCAATACTCACAATATTACAGCATAGTCTTACCATTCTAACACCATAACATCCTATTATCATTACCTTTTGTCACAATATGGTCATATTAGGCTTGTCACAACTTGAGTCAAATAACATTTTCGAGTAATAACATAGTCTAAATTGCTTATACAGAAAATCAGAATACAAAAATGTCATTAAGAGGTTAAAACTAAAATACTTCTGGACATATTTATTTTTCAAGATGTAGTCAATTATAATCTCTTCAACTTTTGTGCACTTTGAGAATTAACTGCATACATGCAAAATATATTTCAAAGTATTCAACAACCAATACTGTTTCCATCATCTTAATGAAGAGTAATTTTAGTATAAGCTTGTTATACTTAAATACCCTACTAGAGTATCCCATTCCAAGCAATATGGAAAATTTAAAAGTTACTGTTCAAGTTTGTATCTCTGAAGAAACACATATAGAAGGTGCTTTGGGTTCTCTTTTTTGTGGGTACTTTAAGAGATGATAGTTAAATCATTAATCCGAGATTCAATAAATGGTCAAAACCCCTGGAAAGAATTCCTAAAAATTTCAGACCACTGTAGCCTAGTGCACAGAGCACTAAATTTGAAGCCTAAAGATCAGTCCACATGGTCACTGGTTTTGTGAGACTGTTCATATCACTTAACTTGTTTTAGAGCTCAAATATGAAACTCCATCCTACATGTTTCATAATTTCTTGTCTCAGTGTTTTTCTACACATTTTTCTTGTAATCAACAACTTACTGAGAACCTACTAAGTGCCAGGAAGGATGCTAGGAACATTTTGTTATTCTGATGAGGAACTGAAGACATTATAATAGAAACATAACCTTTTCGTTTGGAAAGTTTTAGTACCAAGTAAATGAAGTTACATATCCCATTGAATTAAAAAATATGTAAGGCCTACATATAGCTTCCAAACTTAAAGTTCAAATGTAAGAGGATATCAACTGAGGCTCACAAGGGAAAAACGGTGAACTAAATATTTCCTAACTATTTTGAATCACTTCTGTTTACAGTACCATGCAACTCAGGAGGAAAATATACTTGAAACAATTAAGTGAAAAATACTTAAACCTATGTAAAAATAACTGGGAAATGAAATGACAGAACCAAGAAGCCATACTCTTTTTCATAGGTTGCTTGTCTTCTTATTTTCTCTGCACTAAACCTACGAAAAGCCTATTTTGAGGGGAAAATAACCGAAACAAATGTCAAGCGAAGTACAAGAACAAGCAATGACAGCCATATTTTATGAAAGTGTACAAGATTTAACAGACACATATCACACACTATGAAAAAGTTATGAAATGTAAACACAGACGGGTTTTAATGAAACAGCATTCAGATAGAAATTAATCTAGAAGCTTTATTAACACAGCAAATCTGTCCTACCAACCTAATCTGGTCAATCCTTTCAATATAACAGTTATGAAACCAGCATATTCTTCAGCAGGCTTCTCATAAAAAATTCCAGAGATTTTAAAGGAAAGCCTAAGAACTAGACTTCCTTTCCTCGTTAAAATGTGAGTTAAATTTAGAGATGTCGAATGGAATGTACTAGTAATCAATACTGGGAAGCAAAATGTATATAGAAAAAATAAACAAAAAATACATACACAGATTTAACGCAGACACGAGTATGACTATCAACGACAAGCTCTAAATACTTTATAAGGATTATGTGTCAACATACGCCTTTAACATATACGCTCTCTTAAAGCCAAAATGTTTTAAGATTTATAACCAGAGAATAGGCAGTCTGACGGTCAAAGAGGGGAAATCATTTTTTCCCACCATCTTCTAATGAAGCCTGTCTCCCACAATTATAAAAACTTTTGTAGTTGGTCTAAACCGTGAGCTGCCTGGAGACAGCAGAAGGGAGGTATCCTGAATGAAAGGCCATCTCCATAAATTAATGTCTTCCCTTGACGAGAAAGCATTTCAGGGTAAAAGCATGTACGAATTCCGCCGTAATCTGAAAAGGGGTTGGAGGGCAGGGAACGAAATAGGCAGCGGGGGCACTAAAACATGTTTAGTTAACAGCGCTCAGAAGTCTCCACACAACCCGTATTCCCCTCCATCTCAATCAGACTAGGCTATTCTCTCCTCCTCTGAAGGCTTAGAGGTCAGAGAGAGATGTGGGGTCAAAGTGGCCTCCCCAACAGGTCCCCTCCCTAAGTTTCCCCTCGGTTGAGCCCACATCTCCGCTCCGAACCGACCTAAGAGCTGGTCCAGGGCTGGGAGCCCGGTTGATACCAGCAGCTGTCCATTCCGCACCGACGGTCGCGTGCCCGCAATGGACACCAGTCGAGGGCCGCTGTCGTTGGTCCCGCTGGCTCTAGGACCCTTCCTCTGGAAACTGGTGACATTGCTCTTGCTGGCTGTTGCCACTGCAGACCCAGTACTCCCCGCGCCACTGCCGCAGGTTGCCACTGCCGCCATCTTAGAGCCTGCAGTGTCAACCCAATAGGAACTCTGGGAACGCAAACCCCCGGCCTGTCAGAACCAGTCCCAAACTCCCGCCTCCTCGCCCCAACCGCGGCTCTCGTAACCAATAGGACTGAGACGTCCCTCCCGAGCCAACCAATGGGAAGGCGTATTGCTGAAAAGTGCGCTCTACGTAAGGACGGTCGGCTTCGGCGGGGCCAGGTGAGAAAGGCCCACCTGTGTCCTGTTTGAAGGTCTTCAGGGTTCTTTGGGGCCCGAGGTAGGTAATATCACGTAACGTTCTTCTCCTTTTGAGTGCCTTCATTCACACTGAGTTAAAGAAAAGGTTGGTGAACCGATAAACCCTTAGGGCTTATCAAGCAGTTGGTAGTATCTTGCACCTTTCTCCGCTGTGTGTGAGGAGAGACTTTTTTTTCCTGCTCATTTATCTTCTGATTTCTGACAGAAAATTCACTCCGTATTCTCCACGATGTCTTTTTCTTAATTTTGTGTTATACGGAAAGGATGGGATCCCTTACCCTAATGAGTTGGTTGCTGAGCGTCCGGGCTTAGTTCGCTAGTGCCTACTGGTAGGTGGTTTGGATTTAAATTTTAGAGCGAAAACTCTTGAACTTTGTGGTTTTTCTGTGTCTGACAAAATATACCTCTCTGACAAGTTCCGATAAGAAGCTTTTGTTAATTTTAATTAGTGTTTCTGGAAGTCTTGAATGTCTGTCCTAAGCGGTGTAAATGACAAGTGTTACTCTGACAACCTTGTTCACACATTTAATTGTCGTTTGCTGTTAAAGGAGCTGCAAAATAACAGAAAATACTTAGGGTTTCTTTCCCCAAAAAAGCTGCTAGGAAGAATTAGAAGTAAACCTACTTTATTTTGTGAACCCTGAATCGAGAGTTTATTACTAAAATACGAATTTTATGGGTGGAAAAAACATGTATTTTGAGTTGTATTTTTGTGTTTAAATTTTTTCTCAAAACTGAGCAGGTACAGTGGCTAAGTAATGTTTAAAGGCAATCATGATTGACAAATGTCTAAATTAAAAAGAACTCCCAGATCATTACTACACTACTGAGTTACTGACTTTTGACAGTGATCTGTGATACCTTTTAATTAGAGCCAAACCTCGTTGAAATTCTTGCCATCGAATTGTTTTAAATTTCACTGACCTGTTGAAATTTTTGGGCTGATTTTATTTGATAAATTGAAATTAGTATTGTTAAATAGTGACTGGAGTTTTTCATTTGGGGAAGATTTTTGTTTGCTTGTTTTTTAGAACCATGTTTGGGATAAAACCCTGTTTCACAATATATCAACTGGAAAGCTTTGATCAAGGTTGCTTTCATATTGAATCTTTAAGTTACTCAATAAATAGCTGTTGAGTGATTACTGTCGGTTTGGACTTAATCTTGTCATTTTTAGACCTATGGTAATAAAAATGGTCTCATCTGGAGAAGATAAAATTAACACATAGAAAACAACATAGTACTTAAAATGAACACATTAAATAGTATGTGCTAATTTTATCCTGTAGTAAATAAGCACTAGGAAGACCAAAACAAAAAGTGACAAAGCAGTCCAATATCAGATAGAAACTTCTTGAATATTTTTTTTCTTCAACTTTTACTTTAGATTCTGGGCTTCATGTGCAGGATGTGCAGGTAAATGTGTGCTGTGGTGGTTTGCTGCACAGATCAACCCACAACCTAGGTATTAAGCCCAGCATCCACTATCTATTCTTCCTGATGCTCTCCGTTCCCCCCTACAAATATTTTTGATGCTGTGAACTTTTTGAAATACTACATATAATAATTGTTTTTTGACAGATGGCATTGTTTTGTGTACCTCATGATGCTATGAAGTGTATGTACGTTCCGGAATGGTTAAATCTATCTAATTAGCAATGCATTACCTCACATAGTTATCATTTTTGTGGTAAGAGTACATAATATTTACACTCTTTACATTTTTTTAAAGAATACAATATATCATCATTATAGCCAGCTTGCTATGAATTCATGTTATGTAATAGATTTCTTGAAATTTATTCCTCCTATCTAACTGAAATTATGTATCCTTGACCAAATTCTCTCCATCCCCCTGCCAACCATCCTGGCCTCTTGTAAACACCATTATACTCTCTGTGAGATTAACTATTAGATTCCACCTATGAGTAAGATCATGTGATATTTGTCTTTCTGTGTCTGGCTTATTTCACTTAACATAATGATATAATTCGTTTTTATAGGCTTCTATACTACATATTCCCTTGTTTCCTACTGTATTTACTTAAATACAAAAAAAAAAGCATATTTATCCTATGCTTATATACCAGATATATATCCTATTTTCATGAATACTTTGGTGTGTATATAGATCATCTTTCCAGAATTATAATCCAAGTTGAAGTTGGAAAATAATTCTTCAGTTCTAGTAATGAGGCAAACAAAGCACCACTATCATCATCTTGGGAAAACGAAAGATCGAGACCATCCTGGCTAACATGGTGAAACCCCGTCTCTACTAAAAAATACAAAAAAAAATTAGCCAGGTGTGGGGGCGGGTGCCTGTTGTCCCAGCTGCTTGGGAGACTGAGGCAGGAGAATGGCATGAACCCAGGAGGCGGAGCTTGCAGTGAGCTGAGATCGCACCACTGTACTCCAGCCTGGGCGACACAGCGAGACTCTGTCTCAAAAAAAGAAAAGTTATATATTTAGGTGTGTTATTAATTAATTAATTCTTTATGAAGGACATACTAAATTCTACGAAGTGCAACAGAGCTCAGGTTACAGGAGAAAAAAAAATACTGTCTCTGTACTCTTTGAGTTCACAGTTGGGGAAGATAGATGGGTAAACTGGTTAATAAAGTACAGTTGATCCTTGAACAATGTGGGGATCGGGGTGGGGGTGCCGACCCCCACACCCGTGTAGTTGAAAACGCACATGTAACTTTTGACTCCTCCCAAACTTAACTGCTAATGTTCTATTTTTGACTACTGGAAGCTGTACCAATAACATCTGTGGTTTAACACATAATTTGTGTGTTATATATATTATGTACTGCATTCCTACCATAAAGTAAGCTGGAGAAAAGAAAATGTTAAGCAAATCGTCAGAAGAAAATATATTTGCCATACATTAAGTGGAAGTGGATCATTATACAGGTCTTCGTTCTTATTTTCTTCGTGTTGAGTAGGCTGAGGAGAAGAAGGAAGAGGAGGGGTTGGTATTGTAGTCTCAAGGGTGCCAGAGATGGAGAAGGTGGTAGGGGAGGCAGGACAGGTAGACCCACTCAATATAGCTTTATGGGAATACATACTAATTTGTCTTTTGCTTTTTCAACTCTCAAAAAATGTTTTTGTACAGTACCAATTCTTCTTCCACGGTTTGCTTTAGTTACAGTATCTGTGTTATAGGAGGGGTCCATGTCAGAAGAAGTCAAAGCAGTCTTGAATAACTGGAAGACTTCTGCCAGATTGCCTAATGTCAGTTTGTTTTCTGGCACTGCTTCTTCTTCTTTCTTATCATCTGGCACTGGTTTGGAAGTATTCATCTCCATCAAGTCATCTTCTGTTAATTCCTCTGGTGTGGTGTCTATTAGCTGTTGAATTTCTCCAAGATCCCTATCTTAAACAACTGTTCCCTCCCGACGTTTTTTTTTTTTTTTTCTTTTCTCCGTGTCCACAATGTTTCCCATAACTTCCTTGATTGACTGTTGTAAATCCTGCAGGAAACCAATTTGAGATATACCAGAAAACATATAATGAACATGGTAGGCAACTAGCACCTTCTGATACAAGTGGACACCTCTTCAGTTGTTTTTTCAGTGGCTTCCCTAGCCCTGGAGTCCATATCACTGTTGTGTCTGTGCCGGTAAAGTATATAGCAGAGATACTGTGAAGGTTCACTACTGGGCCTGCTGGTATTCTGGCAGCATGATTGAAGGAATGAATATTAAGGTCATGTCTACACAGAGGGAGTTCCTCAACCTCCGGTAATTCCTTTTTTGCCTCCTTCCTGTCTTTATACTCACAAAGAGAAACTATAGTCCTGAGTTGTAGCACCACAGATTTCTTTTACCTGTTTTTCTACTTTTCTACTTTTGTTATACTCTCTACTTCTATGAGATCAACTATTAGATTCCATTGGATCTACTATTAGATTCCATGTTTGACTTCTTTTGCTTAACATTATTTTTGTGAAATGATCCTTGTTAATGTGTATTGTTGTGGCTGATCTATTCTTATTGCTGTATAGTATTATATAAATGCACTATAATTCATTATCTGTTCTACTGTTAAAAGGGGTTTGGATAGTTTCCCTTTTGTGGCCATTTCTTCAATGCAATTGTACCAGTTTATACTCTTACCAGGAGTATTTGGGAATTGTTACTTCTCATCCCATCAACACAATATTTTTCTTTCTTTTCATTTCAGCTATTCTAAGAGGGTTGTGGTATGGCATTGTCATTTGGATTTGGACTGATGAAATTGAGCACCCGTTTATATGCTTATTGGCCGTTTGGGTAACCTCTGTTGTGAAAGGGTCTATCTATATTTTTTAATTTTACAGATTTGGATTGTCTGCCTCTCTCCCGTAGATTTGTAGGAGTTCTTTTATATTTTGGATAAGAGTTTGTTTTCAAATAAACTAATTACAAATATCTTCTATCAGTCTGTAGCTTGCCTTTTCATTTTCTTGTCTTTTGATTTCAGTCAAAATATATTCTGACTTTAACAATTTTTTCTTTGTGGCTAGTGCTTTATGGCTATGTTTGCCTACTCCATAATTTCGAAGATGATCTCCATGTTTTTTTTCCTAAAACCCCTAATGTTTTACTTTTAAATATTTATGTCTGTACTTTGTTGGAATTGACTTTTTTGTGTTTGGTGTGAGGCAGTGGTAAAGATGCATTTGTTTTTCCTATGTTGGTATCCTATTGACCTAGCACCATTTATTGAAAAAATGATTCTTTCCTTGCTATATCGCATCATCACTTTTTTAATAAATAAAGTCACACATAAATTAGGCAGATTTCTTTCTGGACTTT